CCATCCTTTTTGGTTTTGTTACCGGTCCTAGCCGCAGACCCGATTGGCAGGACCGAGGGGATGCCAGCGATTCTTCCCCCTCCTCTCAATTTTTTTTCGATTTTTTTATATTATTATCTATATCGTATTTTTATTTTTATTTTTAAGTCACGTTTTTTGGGCCCGATATTGGTGCTGGTTCCGAGGCTGGTCAAGGTGCCAATCGGCTTATGTTAGTTGGTACGGCCTATGAACTATTGAAATACAGGTGTGAGCTCGAAATCCACTGGAAGCAGATAAGTAAAGTACTGCAATTATGAATTAGCAAGGCACGGTCAATTCACACGTGATATCTCTGTGCCGTGACCTTTGGTTTGGGTCCTTAGGGACATCCGTTAAAATTGGAATGATACAAAGTAGATTAGTATGGTCGTACGTCCACCCCGCCTCCCTTGCCTGTAACAGATACAAGATCCGACAGTGAAAAGGTTGGAAGCTCTATTTTTAATCGGCCTGTTAGACCCGCTGATGAGATGCCAGGTGAGAATTGTTAATGTTAACAAACACGAAGAAAAAGGACATCACGAAGAAGAAGCAAAGGGCGTGAGAAAGTTCATCCGACAACGGAATAAGACGAGTTGAGGGTCGAGCATGAGATGTTCGTGGTGGGCGATCCTGAATCTGATGTTTGTTTTGCAGTTAGTGAGGTTGACAGGGAAATAGATGAAAAAGTGGTGCCTGGGGAGAATCGAGAGAGGGAGGGAGGAAATTGCTTACGTGGCGGCGTTTTTCCTCAGTCGTGGTGGTGCGCCTTGTTCCTATGTGATCCCCCTCCTCGTTTTGGTGGTTGTCTCCCTTTTAGTGATGTATCTTCTGATGATCTAACATAAGATTGATTCTCATTCCGCTCCTTGGTGTAGTGGAGCGTGAGCTATGATCGCGTTGTCGGGCGCATCGATCCAACACTGCAAAAGGCAACGCGGGACCGTCCCGGCCGTGTCACGCAGAAGTTTGTCTGTTCCTCGTCGCAAATGCATATGGAGCTTCCACAAGCCGCTTCGACTGAGTGCGCCAGCCGTACCTCTCGCGAGCCCCTACGCCAGGATAGGGCCTACGCGAGGCACGACTTACCTCCACCTTAGGGGAGTTGTCACCTCCCTTCGGTGGGCGTATCCCCGCCAAGCTACCAGTCCACAGTACGAAAGCTAATCAACTGCAATCGCAGAGGTGGACTAGCCAAGGGCGTTTCTCATACGTTGTAGCATATGGGGTACGCGCAGTAGTACGCCTCTATCGGACCCTCACGCGAACCGACATCTTGGGGGGCTGAGGTCCCAAGCGCGACTCGTCGCCGGTTGACTACGATGCATCCCACACACCATGCGTACTCTACTCTAAAGAACATAAAAATTAAAATACGCACGCATATGCACATACAAAACGACTCAAAACAAACAACGTGAAAACACTCCTAGTCCCTTAGTAGTCATCCTATAACTCTCCGATGCGGAAATCGGATAGGCGTTGCGCGCGAGACTTAATATAAAACTGCGCGGACGGAGGGTCTTCTCATATCGACTAGCAATGCATAAATACGCTCAGTCGCAATGATGGCGTACTATGTAGTACCCATACTCATGCGGTCCTCGTTAATCTGGAAGGTTGCATTCGACACTCAAGTGTCGGCTGACACGCGCCTAGAGGGAATGTTCTCTCAATGTTGGACAACCGCCAAGTGCGGTTGAAAACCACACCCTCTTCTGCACCTTGCAGAGAGTGGGTGGTATACAGGTTCATAGTTGTGGTGACAATCGTCTCTTATCACCCTGGAGACCAACTCCATCATTCAAGGTCTGGAAAGATGTCAAGGGGTTTGACTTTGGTGGTTGCCATGGACTACAACATCCAACTATAAAAATTAACAAGCAAAATCACCCAATAAATAAATAAACATCCCAACACTTATATATCAAATCAGATATCGAGATAAAATAAAAGAAGGGGGAAACATAAACCCATCAGGCATGCAGATCGTGGGACACATGGTTGTCATCCTCGCTGCCTCCAAAGTATGACCCATATACCAAGTTCCAAAATACTAACCTGCATAAAACATAGGCACACACAATAGTCACATTGCCATACACCAATGTGGTCAACTTTACTTTTCCTTGTAACTCACACCACGCCTCACACACACAAGCCCCAGCCATAGCCCAACTTTTTATAAATCTCATAAGGTCTTTATAATGGTCATTAAAAGAAGTCCGGTTAAAACCCTCAAAGAAACATATCAAATCTCAGGGCTAAGGCAATCAAGTTGAGATAGAGGTGTAAGCAAAGTTGTGTCGTGAGCCGACAAGTCGGCGATCAACCAACCGACATGTTATCAGTGATAATGGAAGATGATCCTCGTAGGATCAAGCTGAAGCTAGTCCAAATCCTGGATCGAATGTCCAAAGAAGACCTGTACCATACAACATGTCAATGTCCAAGCTAAATCGTCAATGTATGGAGATCAAATATCCATGTCACGTTCTCACTCAAGACTCTCCTGATAACCAAGCCGAGGTTTATCTCTAAGGCAGTGCCCAAAGAAAGGTAGACCTATGGCATAATCTCCCCCATACAGAGTGGACTGCGAGAGTCGTCACCAGTCAAAATATAATTTATCTCCTCTAATTTAAGAAAACTTCGGTAGCGCTTCCCTTAAGAAAAGTGTTTTTCCATAATTTATATCAGGCTAAGTATGAAAACAAGAATAATCTTTAATCTTCGAAAGTCAAATTTTGTCTAACCCCCTGAAATAGTAAAAATTTGGGCCGCACTCCTTTTAGAAAAGGAGACTTTCCATATTTTTACTAAGCCATATATAAAAATCAGACAAGTTGAACTTTTGAGAAGGCTGCACAGCAGCAGTGCTTGTTGAAGTTGTTGTTGCTGTCTCAGGATAAATGTCTACACTCATCAAGGACAGCAACAGAAACTTCTGTTGGTCGTCTTTTGCTATCAACAGATATGTGTGTGCGAGAGAGAGAGAGAGACAGAGACAGAGACAGAGAGAGAGAGTGGAGGGAAACAGCACGTGGCACGTTGGTGTTGTGCCACGTCACCACGTGGGTTGGTGG